TAGAAGGCCTCTGGGATCCTTTCCAGGTTTTAAGATTCTATGGTTCTAACCCAGTGAGAATTTAGTAGATAAAAACTTAATGGCAGTTAATAGAGTAAGAGAAGACCTCACGGAAGGGATGGGACTTGATCTAGGACTTTCGTAAGAAGAGAAGAGGGCATTCTTAGAAGGAACATTACATGTGGCATGTGGAGGGGACCAGTGAACCTGGTTGGTTGGTATGGATCTGTGGATGTGGGTAATATGTTTTCAGAGTTAAATATGATACAGATTTAAAAAGTCCTAAACTTAAGCAAGTTGGTTTGCATTTTATTAGTGGAACAGTGAAAAACCATGGATATCTTTAAAATGTTGGTGGGGAGGTGGAGAGTGGCAAATGATCAAGCCATAAAAAGTACATGATACTATAGAGGAAACAAGCTTTGGAGTCTCACTGACCTGAATTTGACTCCTGGTTCCACCGCTGGCTTGACACACAACCCGGTTCAAGTTACCTAAAATCTTAGCCTCTGTTTCTCCACATTCAAAATGGAGATGTTCACTCTTCTTGAGATGGCTGTGAGTTAAATGACATAATGCATAGAACTACAGCAAAGTGGGGATTCCTTGCTTAGTTCCTTTTCTTTATAATGTTCATTATTAGAGAATCCCTTGGCTGAACTAATTACTTCGCACAAAAAGCTAGGACAAAGAAAGGTCAGATCTCTATGATGGGCTGTTCATTGCTGGCCCAGCTATCTAATAATTTTATCTGGGAATATTGAAAATAAAACAATCAAAAGGGCTAAATAACTAAAGTAGGTCACATGTGTCAGTTGGGTTGAATAAAATTTGGTCAGACTTCAACTTTGAGGCACAAGGAAATCAAAGAGAATCACTGAAAACAGAACTCAGCCATCAGTAATTTCCTAAACATCTGGAATGTGGGTATTGATCATTTCTTCTTTAAAATACGAAGGAAAGTGTTATGCTGTAATTTTTTACTTCAATAATTCCAGCTGAGAGTGCTACAGTCAAAGTCTACTTGAAACCAAATTTGGCAAACTTAATAAACAAGTCATTTATTGCAAGATGTTTAAAAAGAATCACTGAAGCACTAACCTCAAATGATCCCCAAGAGTACAATTACAATCTGTCCTCAAAGATAGAAAGGCAGAATAGATCAGCTGGGAGCAGAGTCCTGAAAGCTACAGATGGTGATGTGCAGATCTTGAAATGGGTTTGGTGGTGACACAGAGCCCAAAACTTGGATTTTTCATCTCTGATCATGGTGCTGGCACTGGAATGAGTTCAATGGCAGAGATTCCTCTCTTTGAGTAATTGACCTGATTTTCACTTAGATTAACATAGGACAGTTGAGACTTTGCTAGTATGCCATTTCAAGCTTAGTTTATTCTCAGAACCCCACAAGATCCTTTTAACTTTTGCTCCTTTCAGAAAAGGAGAGTATAGAAGTGGTATAAACGACTGGGCTTCTAGCGAGAACTCAAATGGGTATTTTTTGCTTGATTGTATTTGCCAGGTCAATTCAGCACATATTTCTTCTGTGCCCACTTATTTAGCGCCAGGCTCAGTGCTGGGTACAGAATGAAAAGCAGATGTAACTTGTTAATAGCACTTTGTTCCCAGTGTGGTCTCTGGTTGAGAAACATGGGCATCACCTGGGAGTTTGTTAGAAATGCAGAGTCTCAGGCTTCACCCCAAACCTGCTGAATCAGAATCTGCATCTTAATAAGATTCCAGATGATTTATGCATGGAAGATTTTAAAGGCACAAATCTAGTATCTTATAGACTAGGAAGAGAAAGAAAAATGTAAATGAATGTTTTCGTATTATATCATAGATATGTGTCCATAGGAATACAAACGAGCAGGACCTATTTCAACCCAAGTATGACAATAATCACACTTATTACTCTTTTGAGAGTTTCAAGTGTCCATTAACTCAAAATACAGTAAAAAAAAAACCTATTGGCAAAATTCATGGGTCAATTTATCTCACTTATTGAGATAAAATACTTATTAAATATTATACTTTAATGGGTTTTAGACAAGTGAGGCTAAACCCTTTAATTACTTTAAAGAGCATGTTCATTGAAGCTTTTAGAAGGCATTTTCAGAAGTTCAATTGCCCAAGAAAATAATCAGTGTAAGAAGATTAGGTTACCCAGGAGAAAAAGATGTCTTCTACATACCTGTCATAAGGAGGGAGGGGTTAAAAAAGGATTAAGATCTTTTTCTTCTGTAAGCCTCCATGGGCATGGGTTTTATCATTTTAAGAGTACGTTTATATACAGTAATTTGATCCTCTCATCAAAACAAGAAAGAGAATAATTTAGCCCAATCCTTTTTGTTATCTCCTCCACAAAGGGAAAATTGAAGTCGGCTTCCAAAACTGGTAGGAGGTCCCCAGAAACATAATTGATAACAAGGTACTGGGGTTCAAATTGGTTGGCCTGGATTAATCCCTGATCACTTGGTTGGACTTAAAAGTTATACAAGCAAATGGCAGGGGATTGAAGAGGTTGTATGGAGGGGAAAATCTAACAACTGCAAACAAAGCCAAAGGCCTGAATTTAGGCCAATCTGTTAGCAAAATAATACTAATCATCATCATCATATTTTTTAAATCTAACAGTAAAGGTCAGGTTTTTGTTTCACCAAAAGTAAAATATATTGTTAAAAGTACAGCTAGAAAATATATTTTAAAGCCATAATAGGACAGGTTGGCACACCTTAGCATGAAAACGGAAGCAAGGTCCATTTTCAACCATCTCACAACTTCTGTGCCAATCACACATGGTGAATACAAGCTGTACTTGAGCAGAGAGTTTTATTGTGCTACTCTCGGGTGATTGTATATCACTAGTACTCCTCTTGCACTATAACTGTCTTATTTATTTGAACTTAAATAGAAATTATAGGATTCTTGTTGGACTGAACTGTCTTTTGTGGTTAACTTCAGTGGTTAGCTCTTTTATAGTTAAGTAGAACAATGTAAGAAACGGGCGATTTCTGTTGACAATCAACTGAGAGTACATGATTATTTAAAATGCAAGAATGTTCCCCACAGAAGGATTTATGTAAGGCCAGATCTTATGGTTGACTAGTCACTATTTCAAATGCCTCCGTACTCTGCAAATATTTTCCATTGACTCTAGCCAGATAAGCAAGAACTAACTTGTACCAAATCATGGACTATAAAGTACATTTGTACTGCTATACTAAATTCTCTCTATGTCCCACCCCACCTCTCTCTAGGGGAGAATATGGCTTTCATGAATATACAGAAGTCAAGACCGTCACGATGAAAATTTCTCAGAAAAATTCATAAAGAAACCAAAGAGAGCAGAGAGAAGAAACTTCAATTGCGAAGCATCTCCTATAGTCGCTAATATAGTGGATTTTACATCCAAAGCTGTTCTTTGCTTGATTTTTTTAAAATAAGCAAATCATGTTAGCATTAATACCACACATAGAAAACTTGACATCTAGCTTATTCTAGAAGAAGCATTTGCTTTCTAATATGTGACCCTAATTCCTATCCTAAATAAATAGGACGGATTTGGATGAAAGATCTCTCTAGCTCTGTAATAGTTATAATAGCTCTTTTCTTTGTAGCTACTTGTCCAGGATAATCATTTTATAGAGGAGGACCAATTGCCATTTAGCAACTTTTCCTTGACAATCCCTTGAAGTGCTTAACATACATGTTAACTGCCCAGTAGGGGTGCTCTGTCCTCAGTAGTTGTGAAATCATTGGTGTCTCTTGAAATGTTTCCTAGAATGTGGTGTCTGTCTGTCAAAAAGAGTAAAGCCTGAAATACTTGGCTGTAATCTGAATATAAACCTCAATAAAAACAACCTTGCATGATTCTTTTTAAGTTTGAATTTTTTAAGTAGAGGTTTTGGTTATGGTGATTTATTTTCCCTGTCACTCAAAAGCGGTGTTACAGTTAAATAGAGCATAAAGATGCATTTAAAAATAAAAGCCTAATCCACCCGTTCTCAAAAGGATGAAGAAACGTATTTTACTTTCCTGAGGAAATGTATTTTACTTTTCTGAAGAACTATTGAAGTCCTTTGCTTTCACATTTGAGATGAATGGTTTCAGTCATTCAGAAAGTATCCGAGTGCCGACAAGTTCTGGGGACCACGTTAGGTGTGGTAGAAAACAGATGACGGTGGATGGTCTATTATCTCAAGATGCTTTAATGGTGAAGAAATACACGATCCAAAAAAGGAAAGGGAGGAGGTAGAATGGAAATGAGAATTCTAAGAATGATATGAGCACAGTAATAATACCAACGGAATAGTAATGAAATCTTAACTGTGGAAATTGGGAATGACTTTGTGAAGGAAATTTGACTGAATATGAGCCTTATTGATGAGCAGATATGAGGATAATAACATAAAATCCCCACTTTCCATTTCTTTGCCACAAACCGCACATGCAGCACTTCTTCCTTTGATCACAAGCACTTGGAGCTAGGTCAGATCTCACAAGATAAAAGACACAATCCTCCAGACTGTCAAGTAGGCCTAAGACTTCATATACCAGCTGCATTTTTGACAGTCCCCATGACACCCTCATTTCTGACCTGTTGGCTTCACATTTGGGGTTTTTCTACTATCTCCCTCAGGATACCCCTCACTTCTGAACTATTGGCTCCCACTACTCCCTTGAGTTCAATAGTTCACTATAACAACTCACAGGACTCATGAAAAGTACTAACAACTGCAGTTTTATTATAGGAAAAATGATACAAATGAAGACATAATAAGGTGACGCCTGGGAGGGCTCCGACTGCAAAGCTTCCATGTCCCAAAAAATGACATGCTACCCTCCTACTTACTTCAATGTCTTTCACCAACAAGTAAGCCCATGGAGCTTCCATGTCAAAGCCATTATCAGGGCCTCATTATGTATTCATAATTGATTGAATAAACCCACCTCCCCTGAGGTCAGCTAATAGCATACGGTGGTTTTTTTTGTCTTGGTCAGCCCGCACCTGGGTCACCTCATTAGCATATAAATTCTCAGGTGTAATTCGGAGGCTTATAGATAATAAAGGCAACTCAGTTACTCGGAAAATACCAAGGGTTTAGAGTTAGCTCCTGGGAACCAAGGACAAAGACCAGATTACTTGGGGTAAAGTTAATGTAAACCCACAGCAGTTTTGTAATAAATAAAAAGGAAAGAGTCTCTCAACGTAGTCTTTCAGGATATCATTCACTGGTGAAACAAACAAATTGGAAAATCCTATATATTTTCCCTCTCAGATTATCAAATTGCATATTAACACATCCAAGTTTCTGAGAAGTCCTGCAGCTTGTTTAGTTTTGTTTGATAGAGTGCTTCCCAAATGTATGTGACCAGAGAACTTGCCCTTCCCCATCCTCACTGAACACCAATTAACATTAAGAAACCCACGTGGGAGGATGCTACTCTATACCATGAGGTATCACTGGCTGCTCTGGGGAGAAATCTGGGCTTCAAAAGGGAACAGTTAGAAAAATGCCTTTTTGTAAAATTGACCGGCCCATACTTACATACTTACGTCCTCATACAAAGAGGTTCTGTTTGTGCTCCCATTCTTCCTTTATGAAGTGACAAGCCCAAAAGAAATTAAGTAAATATTTGTATATTTCCATACCCATTGCTGTCCAATCGATTCTGACTCATAGTGACCCTATAGGACAGAGTAAAACTGCCCCATAGGGTTTCCAAGGCTTGTAATCTTAATGGAAGCAGACTGCCACACCTTTCTCCCGTAGAGTGGCTGGTGGATTCAAACTGCTGACCTTTCCACTTGCAGCTGAGTGTTTAACCACTGCTCCACCAGGGCACCTGTTTGTTGTATTACTGTATATATTCTAAAACAATCTTAGATCATTAAGGTAAAATTTGAGCCAGCTAATTTTTAGGATCTAGGAGATCATTGGTGGTTCACTGGTAGAATTCTCTCCTCCCATATATGAGACTCAGGTTCAATTCCTGGTCAATCCACTTCATGCAATCCACCACTCGTCTGTCAGTGGGACTTGCATGTTACTATGATGCTGAACAGGTTTCAGTGGAGCTTCCAGACTAAGATAGACTAGGAAGAAAGGCCTGGCAATCTACTTCTGAAAATCAGCCAGTGAAAGCCTGAAAACTGCCTGACTTACAACTGATCGTGGGGATGGCACAAGACCAGGTAGTGTTTTGTTCCATTGTGCACAGGGTCACTGTGAGTCAACGGTGGTTAACAGCAACAACCATTTTTAGCATAATGGTTTTTTTTTCAGATTCAGCTTTTTATAAAAATAATTAAGTTTGTTGTTTTACATGAGCAGACACTTCAGTGCTAGTGCTAAAGAACACAATGTTAGCTGTCACAGCTGAGTACCATGATCTAAGAACAAATTAAATTCACTAGAAAATGAAATGCATTAGCTTCTTTGACCTTAAATAATTATAGCTCCAATTGAAAGAGCGTCTCAAACTTGTGTGGGCCTATAACATTTGTAATCTGCACTATCTTATAAGATGTGGAACATAATTACTATTTTGAAAACTGGAGGAATCAAAATCTTAGAGCAAAATGACAGATGTTTGGGCGTTGAGAAAGAAAAATATCCAAATACAGAGGAGGGTTGTGTTTTCCTAAAACCAGACCGCGTCCACCTTTTTCAAAGATTTGTTTAAAATCTCGTATAAATAAATTAATAAGTAGACAAGTTAATTTTGTAATGGCACCCCACCAGAACATTTTTAAATGTATAACAAAGAGAGCCGAACACAGAGCAAGACAAAAGCCAGAAGCACGTTTAAATATTTAAAAATGAAATCCCCGTTGTATAAATAAGACTTTGCAGAATTAAACAGAAAATTATCTGTTTTATATTGGCTCGTTCTGAGTCTCTAGACATTATTTGTATTTCTTTACCTCCAACTTATAAAGCCCTATTGCCAATAAATCCTAAAACCTTGACTTCAAAAAGTTAAAGAATATCTTAATAGCATCTGTGCTACAGGAAATAGAGGAAGGATCTTTATTATGAAGAATTCAGTTTTGCAGTCTTAATAAGTATGATCTCATTACCCTCAATAGCCACATGGTAGGAAGTATTTTCATCTCCAGGAAAACCAAACTAAGTCACAGAAGTTGAAAGTAACTTGTTTAGGCAGAGACAATGTTACGGCTTTCCAAATCTATAGGTTTCCAAATATCTACCGTCTTCCCCACCCCCCGGCCCCCAATTTTCATGATAAATACTTGAGGATTTATTTTGAAATAGCCAAGGAGAATTAGGTATTTTTTTTCTTAAATCCTTATAAGACGGTTCCACAGAGCCAACTCAAAGAATTTTAGCCATTTCTTTGTATGATTTGTTTCAAAGGGAGTGATAAACCCAAAAGACTCCTTTCTCTGCACAATACATATAATTTTTTTAGGATCTCATTTCACTGAAACTTTAGAAGTGCAATCATACGCAACACGCAAATAACTAAACTGTTATCTTTGGGTGGTTTTCAGGGGGTATGCCAGAATAACCAATTTACATTTTCACACGAACCACAAGCTCCTAATCAGAGTTTCATTTGATTATTTACTTCTGGATTTTTGAGTTTTCCAAAGGTGCTTTTGAGCCTTCCCATTTTGAGAGTGAAGGAGATAAAGGCTAAATTTCCTGGATACCAAAATTCAGTTATGGCCAGGAAGGGTGAAAAGCTTTCTGTGTAGCACCCTGAAACTCTGGTATTCTGGAAGATATCATCCTGAGTCAAGACACAAATAAAAGGGAAGCAGCCCAATTCTCACATTGACTCTCTGTGGAAGAGTAGAAATGGTGTCTCTCTCTGAAGACAAGGCCACAAAATTCTCCGTGGATGTTTGGGTCAGCTCTAAATCATGTCTCTTAACTGGCCTTCAGATACCTAGCACTGCATGTATCCCAGGGAAAAAATAGTCCCATTCACAAACATTCGGATGATTCCCAAACATCTAGAAAGTCAGATTTATCTCCTGATGAAATATCTATGCCGAAGACAGAGCAACTCTTTTTGTACATTTACATTAGTTAATGAATGTGTTGACTAGTTTCAGAAGAATTTAATTAAAAATAATCGGTGACTTTTGAGTTTTACAGGCATGTTTACAGGAGACTCGTACTGTGCTATCCTGAAGAGATTTCACCAGACTTTTAGGATTTTGTTTTTATTTCTGTCAGATCACTTGCTTGCTTAAGGAGCCGTCAGTCCTAGTCTTAAGAAGTATATTCAGTGTGAAAACATAATACTGATAAAACTGGCAACTGATTTTTTTAATGTTTTATTTTAAAATACTAATTTCAAACTATTATAGAAGCTATAATAATAGCTCCTTTATTCACGAATTTTTAACTTTTGCCTATATTTGCTTTGTCATTTTTATTCTTTACATTCATACATTTTTTTCTTGAGACAGTTGAGAATGACTTTCAGGCATCATGTCCCTTTACCTCAAAATACTTTAGTATGATTTTTTTTTCTAGGAACAAAGACATTCTTTCACAAGACCACAGTAAAATTAGCTACTTCAGGAAATTTAACATTGACAAAATACTAGTATATAATACACAAGCCATATTCAGTTTTCCCCAATTATCCTACTAATGTATATGGAATTTTTTTTTCCACGATCCAAGACTCACTCCATTATCATGTATTACATTTAGTTATCATGGTTTCCTTTGGTCTTACTATTATTTAATAATGAAAATATAACTGAGATAGAACTAATATTCAATCAGATTGGTTGGTACAGTCTTGGCCTGAGAAGAAAACCTAAGGCACACACCTTAGTTCAGAGAGTTCCCAAGTTAACTAAGAATCAGAGTAAAGGAGACT